AGACGGTTGAAATATTTAAAATAAAATACAGCAAGCGGAGAGGTTAGAAAATGAAATAATACAGCTAGGGGAGAGGGTTTTTAAAAAGAATATAAAATACAGTTAGCGGAGATGGTTGTAATATATAAAACAAAATAAAGCTAGGAGAGACGATTGGAAAATATTTCTTTAAAAAATCAGCTCATTGAGATTTTTGGAAAATATAAAATAAAATACTGGTAGTGGAGACGGCTGGAAAATTAAAAACAAAATAGTGATGAGGGAAATTGTTTTAACATAGAAAATAAAATAAAGCTGGGGGAAACGGTTTTAAAATAGGAAAAAAATACAGCTAGAAGAGACGGATTGAAAATATAAAATAAAATACAGCTAGGTGAGACGGTTTTAAAAATAATACAACTAGTGGAAACGTTTAGGAAAAAAAATATACAATAAATCTGATGGAGACGGTTAGTAAATATAAAATAAAATACAGCTATTGGAGACGGTTGTAAAATTATGTATGATAAAAATACAGCTGGTGGAGACGGTTGGAAAATATTAAATAAAATATAGCTAGTGAAGACGGTCTGAAATTTGCCAAAATTTGGCCCAAAAAGAGCTAAAATTTGCCCTCAAAATTGTAACAACGCTCCAGAAGAAAGACCAAGACTCGGTACAAACACAGGGGAATCTAACTCATACGAGAATCAAACTCATACGAGAATCAAACTCATACGAGAATCAAACTCACACGAGAATCAAACTCATACGAGAATCAAACTCACACGAGAATCAAACTCACATCTTCTGCATGTAATGATGAACAGACTTACCACTGCAATACACATGCTTGTACAGTGAAGTGTGTATTCTTTCAAGTTTCACAAGGGTGGTTGGTGTGTGGTCTTGTGTGGTCTGCTCCTTCTTTCCTATATCTATTGTCCTTATCTCTCCTATTGTTTGAATGGTTCTCTCTTGTGACGTCTCCAATGTTCGTTCGACACTAATTTGACCTGCTTTGTTTTTAGTATTAGTAGGCCTAAGTGTTTTACGGCACTTTCAACACAATAAGGTCAAATAAGTACGGAAGATTAGAAGTGTTACAAGACAGTAACAAACACAAAAAAGAAGGAGCAGAGAAAAGGACGAAAGATGTTAGCTAGGAAAGAAGAAGCAAACCACACCAGGCCACCCGTCAACCACCCACAGAAGGAACTTTACAGCACTTACACCTCAAACAGGTCACATTTGTGAAGCAGCGTGATGGAATCAGGCTCTCATCAATTGTTGGGCATATTGAGTTATTGGTATCATCTTAAAGCTTGTTCATTTGTCTTGCTTTCAATGAAAAATTACCCATCCATCTTCAATAGAAATGGAGATATTTTGGATTGAAGGAGGTGGGGGTCACCTGATTTAAGAAGAAACATTAGCGAAAAAATGTCCGCCAAAGTTGGAGAGTCCATGGAGACTGTAAATTTATATTTTTGTGCCTTTAATCAACGTTTTCGGTGAAATCCTCAAAGGAATATGTTTGTAAATGGACATAAAAGGTGTTGAGCCGAAAAACAAAAATTTGATAAAAATTGCTAAGCAGGGAGAAAAGTGCTGTTTTCTTCGATTTCATTATTCTGACGAGAGCCTGATTCCACCCCGCTGCCTCACATATATAATACGTGGTGAAGACAAGAAGTGTTGCTAGAGAGTAGCGTGCAAAGAAAAGAAAAGGGGAGAGGTAAGGACGGCAGAAGTTGGATAGGACAGAATTAGGTGCCAATCATACCCGAACACCCACCAACAACCCACTATATGACCTGTTTGTGTTCCAAGTGTCATAAAACTTTCACCAAAACTAAAGCAGATTTTGTTCCACACACCAACACTTCCACATCTCAACACCACTGCCGTCATTTTTTTAACATAGGCTACAGCATACGCAGTTTTTACAATTTTACATGAGAGCCAAGAAAAAACCCCCACACCAAAACCAACCCCCAACAACCTGAATTGGAATCGAGTCACCAAGCAAACACACTTGTTGTCAAGCATCCTTCGTCAATATTTTTAAGAATACAATTTTGATAATGACTTCCTTATTATCTTTAAAGCAAATGGCAACCTCAGTGCTTTCTACTTGTATCTTTCCATTACTTTTAATATTGAAAAACGTGACTTTTCCCAAGCTCACTCTTTGTTATGAACTGGTTTCCGTGTCAAAACAATTGGAGATACGACAGGGAAGCACTGAGGTCACGAAATGTTTTTGGTACCGTAACAACATTAAGTTTTTTGGTTCTCCTGTAAATTTGCAAAAACTGCATATATAGGCTTACTGTATTTTGTTGTTTTTTTTATGATGGCACTACAGGAAGTTTACCACTTCTGGGAGGCACAGCACATAAATGTGAGGCAGCGTGTGGAATCATCAGGCTCTCGTCTATTTTTGAGTATATTGAGTTATTGGTATCATCTTAAAGCTTGTTCACTTGTCAATATTGGAATGAAAAAATTACCGATCCATCTTCAATAGAAGTGGAGATATTTTGGATTGAAGGAGGTGGGGGTCATCTGGTTTAAGAGGTAAAATTAGCGAGAAAATGGCCACCAAAGCTTGGTAAATTCCAAAGCTGGAGAGTCCATAAAATCTGTAAATTTATATTTTTGTGGCCTTAATCAACGTTTTCGAAGAAATCCTCAAAGGAATGTGTTTGTAAATGGACATAAAAGTTGTTGAGCCAAAAAAACAAAAATTTGATAAAAATTGCTCAGCAGGGAGAAAATTGCTGTTTTCTTCGATTTCATTATTTTGACGAGAGCCTGATTAAACATAGAAATGTGTCCCCCCCCCTCTCCCACCCCAGGGCAGTGCTACTGATCGAAGTTGTCTTTTGGCCATTCCCAAAGGGGGAATACATGTATTAACATGTTCTTAAGAACAGTAGAATTGTAGATGGGCTGATTTATCAATGTCATGCTCATACTGTGCCGAAAAAACATAGCGGGGGGTGCTGCTTTTTCTGTCCTCAACCTTACCATCGTCATTTTGTACGTTCTCTTGTGAACTGCTATTTCCGGGGTGCCTTGATAGGACCGAAGCAGACTTTGTGCTTTTGAGGCTAGAGAGGTGAGCAGAGTGCTAAAACAGCACCTGGACATGGATGGCTGGTGCCTCTATAAACAAATCATTGATGGTCAGGTGAGCAGAGTAAGCCTGATTCCCTGTCTGGACTTCTCTGGTGACATCCACGCCTTAGCGCTAATATATGACCTTTTGCTGTTGTGAGGGCCGTAAACCCTCTGCTAAAACTAAAGAGAAATGTACAGATGGGGGATAAGACATTCCCTTCATAGGCCGTCTGTGCCAGATTTCTTTATAAGCCCCACACACCCCAGTATCTGGCCCCAAACTCCAAAATCCTCGAAAATTTGAGGATGATTTAACGAGGCAAGGGGCAGGTTCAGAAAATGTTTTATATCCAAGGGTAGAGTGGAATGGTACCCAAAAAAATTATCATTTTTAAAATTAAAATCTGCGCTTTTGACTTCAAATATGTCATCAGCGTCAAATTTACTGTAGATTTAATTCTACTAAAAAACATGCCGGTTTGATGTTGATAAAAATTCTGCATTCACTCTCACATTACTGAAGGCTTATTATTATAGTGAAAAACCCTCAAGTACCCCACCATTTTAGAACACTGAAGCCATGGTAAAAAAAAAATTCTAAAAACCTTCACAGCCCTAGAAACGCGCTTTAAAGATTCAGTTTCATTCATGAACCATTCAGCTATCTCATAGAATGATTTCTTTTGGTATTTACTTCAATGCAGGGGCTCTGTTCATTTTGTTGAAATATGTTCAGAGTGCCTGGTCAAGAAGCCAATAAAAATCACCAGTGGTAATAATAATAGATAATAGATAGCATTTCTATAGCGCAAATCCCCGCTCAACAGCAAGTTCAATGCTCTTCACAAACTATATCATATTATTACTAATAATATTAGTATTACCAAAGCAGACCTGAGAGTATTCTGAAAAAACCTCAACTTCCCGGGAAGCATACAGTGCAAGCAGCCATTTATAGGCGCGAAAACACTAACATACTGACAAAATCTTTCGCTGTCTATGGCCTGGCTGGGTGAGATGTGTATTTTCAGGGTATCCTCAACACCCTCAATCCAGGTCTTCCTTGGTCTTCCTCTTGCTTTGAACCCTGAAATTCTTTTGTAGTAGTAGTGTGCTTTACTGGCAAGCTGTTGAGGTGCCATACATGTCAGATGTCCAAACCACCTTAATCAGCCTTACTGGGCAGTGGGAAGAAAACCGTGACGGATTCTACGACTTTCCAAAAATAGATAATTTGTGAAGCGTGCAGACAAAATGAGATGCTTCTTGGACTCCAGCCCTATGGAAATAGATACATCACGCTTGTAGGTGAAGTTTTTACAATTTATAAGTATAAAATAATAAAAGGCATAATGTACTTTCAGAATATGGCACCAATAGAAAAACTACAAATTTTACCTTAGTGTCGATTTTTAGCAAATATCTCCATTTGTGGATAGCGAGAAGTACATGTAACTCATTTGTCAGCACGCCTCATATTTATTTCCGCCAGTTATCTCAATTTGTTGTCCCATCCCCCCCCCTAAATGACAGTCGGGGGTTCCAGCGCTCTTCATCAATTGAAAACAAACCAAAAAAACTACCCCAAACATTCAGACAAGTAGTTTTAGTTTTAGTAAGTGTTTTACGGCACTTGCGACACAATAAGGTCATATAAGTTCAAAAGATTAGAGATGTTACAAGAGAGTAACAAACACAAAAAGAGAAGGAGGCGAGATAAAGACGATAGATGTTTGATACGAAAGAAAAAGAAAATCACACCAGAACACCCGCCAACCACCCACTCAGACAAGTTAACTCAAAGACAAAAATAAAAAGATTAAGTAATTCAAGATATTCACTTCGACAAACCTTTATTGGGAATAAGGGTTTTTTTTTGGGGGGGGGGGGGGTTTCAGATTTTCTTTTCCTCATGTACACAATTTGCTGAGATCAATGTGTAGTCTGTAGTAAGTCACTTGAGTTTTAAGTGGGAAAACTTCGTGTAAATCTGCAACAACGCTGGATCAATCTGGGGCTGGACTTTGGTCAGCGCAAACTCAAAATGTCGCCAGTGGACACATTTGGCGTTGATGTCCTCCCTCAGGGCAAACAGAGCAGCTTCCTGGCACACCTGAATAATCTGGGAAAAGAGCGTGGACTTGAATGAAACGTCACTGATGCGGAAAGAGAACAATGCCTGGACATTCCGAGAAAACGAATAGGCAATTTATCTATAGTTTATTTATGTGAATAAAGAGAAGCAACGCAAAAACAGTCATTTTTAGAGGTGGGAGAAGTGAAACAGAGAGACAGAAACACTTCATACATAACCGTTGCTTTAGTCTGTACCCGTCGTTTTAGGCAAGAAAAATACTGAAGTTAGGCAAACTGAGCCCAAATATGTGAAATTATGCCATTCTGTTAATCTTAACAAAGAATGATAAAGGAAAATAATCAGAAATTATGCAAAAAATGATCAAACTTTGCTAAATTATGCGGGGTGCATAAAACCACGGGGACAGTTTAGTAGAGGTTTTACGGAGCTCTCAAATGCATAAGGGATGGATGTCAACAGAGAAGTCCTTACAGGGAATCAGGCTTACTCTACTCACCTCTCAAGCCTCAACAGCACAAAGTCTGCTTCAAGGCACCCTGGAATTAGCGGGTCACAAGAGTGTGACAAACATACAAAAGATGTAGAGGAAAAATGACGATAGTAAGGATTAGGAAAGAAAAAGCAGCAGTTCCCTGTTGCAGTTTAGTCACAGTTATGAGCATGACATTGATGAATCAGCCCTTTTACAATTTACAATTCTACTGGGCATAAGAACAGGTTTAATGTCCCCCCTTTGGGAATGGCCTAAAGACACTTCAGTCGGGGGGTATCATACACAACCATGTTGTCATAACCGTATGAAATAGGAAAGGCAATTTTCCTAATTTTTTAGAAAGTAAGAAATAAATAGCATCCTAATCAAAAAGAGAGTGACAGAGAGAGAGAGAAAGAAAGAATGAGAGAGGATAAGAGAGAACTGATGGTAAGAGAGAGAGAAGGAGAGAGAAAAAGAGAGAGAAAGGCAGAGAGAGAGAAAATGACAGAGAGAATGAGAGATAGAGAGAAAGACACACTGAGAGAGAAAGAATCAGAGAGCACACACGAGCACACACACAGACCTCAGCCCCGGAGTAGTGGAGAGTCCCCTCCACCAGCTGCTCAATCCCCACGTCCGCGGCCACACACATCCTGCCCAGCTTCTTCTCCACAGAGAGAGAGAAAGACAGAGCGAGAGAGAGAGAAAGAATCAGAGAGCACACACACAAACCTCTGCCCCGGAGTAGTCGAGAGTACCCTCCACCAGTTGGTCAATCAGCACATCCCCGGCCACACACATCCTGCCCAGCTTCTTCTCCAGGATCTCCCCGCGGGTCACGTCGTCTGGCAGTGGGACGTACACCAGGCTGTCGAAACGGCCCGGCCGCAGCAGTGCCTGGAACAAACACCCGATAGGTCTGGTCAGTTTTTAGCTTTTTTAAACTTGTTCTTTTTTTTGGGTTTATTTTCGCTTTGTTTGTTTTAGTTTGTTTTTTTGTCTTTTTTTTGGTAAGAGTTTTACGGCACTTGCAACACAATAGGCTCATGGACAGATAAAGACGATAGATGTTTGATAGGAAAAAAGGAGTAAACTACACCAGAGCACCTGCCAACCACCCACGGTAAGTTTTTAGTTTCAGTAAGGTTTTATAGAGCTTGAAACTGCATAAGGACATATGAGTGCCAAGGGATGGATGTCAACGGAGAAGTCCAAACAGGGAATCAAGCTTACCCTGCTCACTTCTCTAGCCTCAACAGCGCAAAGTTCGCTTCGACTATCAAGGCACCCCGGAAATAGCAGAGTTCACAAGAGAGTGACAGACATACAAAAGAAGTAGAGGAAAAATGATGATAGTAAGGATGAGGAAAGAAGACACAGCAGTTCCCCCTATGTTGTTCCTGCACAACATGAGCATGACATTGATAAATCAGCCCATTTACAATTCTACTGTGTATAACATGTTAATATCCCCACTTTGGGAATGGCCTAAAGACACTTCAGTCAGTGGCACTGTCCTGGGATGGGGGGGGGGGGGTTAGTTTTAGTATGAATCTTACACCACTTGCAATACAAATGGTCACTTTTACGCACAAGGGGGCTATCCCGCAAAATGCTGTTTCGAGAAAATCGAAGGTAAAGTTTTTGGACCTTTGTTGAGTTTCATTAAAAGACAAGGAGAGTTTTCTCAATAACCAAACAAATATACACACCAATGACACCAAACTTCTATAGATAGGTAAAGCAGGAATGCCTCTTGGGGTAGGCAGAACTCGACAAAAAGTTTGCTTTGACTCAGAGAGGGAGATAGAGTGAGAGAGAGATTCAAAGATTCAAAATGATTTATTGATTTGAAAGGCCTTTGGCCCATACATCCATACACGTATGCACGCACGCACGCACGCACGCACACACACACGCACACACGCACGTGACGCACGCACCTACACTCATACACACTCCTGCTCACACACAGACATACATACACACAGACACACAGACACACAGACAGACATACATACATACACAACATACACAACATACACAACATACACAACATACACACATACACACATACATACATACATACATACATACATACATACACATACATACATATGATCAAATAGAAATAGAACTTCCACACAGTGCTATGAATGAGGCAGCGAGAGAAATCGGGACATGTTTCACTCTGAGAAGTGAATACCATTGTCTTTTTCATACACATATACATATAAAATAGTACCCATTACAGTAGATACAGAGTTACATATGCGAGTGAATACCTTTTCCCTAGGACAGACGTGTCCGTATAACAACATAATTTAGGAATGAGATTATCTTTTTAGAATGGACTTCATCTGAACAGACTAATATGCCATTGAGCTTAGACATTGGCTCTTCGGGAGTCTGAAGTCTGACGCACTCTGGTAAAAGCTGCTCTCGTATTTCATTATATCGTGAACATCTGAACAATACATGGAATTCATTTTCTACATACTTTTCATCACACTGGAGGCAACGATTACTGTCGACAATACCCAACCGGAACAGATTATTTTTCAACGACAAACTGAAAGTTCTGAGTAATGCAAGGATCCTTCTACCTCTTGCAGAGATGGTGAATGAGAGGTACGGTGCAGGGCTTAACGTAGGGTGGAAGTCCAGGTACTCAGGATAAACGCCAGACACCCTAGAACGCCAGTCCTGGTGACTAATATTTATAAGTCTTTCCTTTACTTGAGATAGGAAAATATTCTTATCACCAACATTTTGAAAAAACCACGCATATCCAAACCCTATTGTACATAAAAGTTTCCTCATGTCAGTGGCCCAGCTGTACCGATTATTTTGGTCATGTGCATACGCTTGCAAATAGCATTTCTTAGCATACCTATTATTATCCATTACCAGTAATTTATACCAATATTTTATTGCTCGTAGATGATAAGTGGCATACAAATGATGACGTCCACATTCCCCCATTGCCAAAATGTTTGCGGACGTTCTACCAATGTTTAGGACGGCCTTGCAGAATTTAACGTGCACCTGCTCTATTTTATCATACTTCTTCACCCCCCATACTTCACAACCGTACAAAAGTAATGGCTTAATTTTGATGTCAAAAATGTTGAACAAAGTTTGGACATTCAAGTGCTCATATCTTTTACTTAGACATCTCACTCTGGATGTGAGCCTTGTTGCTTTACAACATAAGTTTTCTATACATTTTGACCATAACAAGCGGGAAGAAAATATCACTCCTAGGTAGCTTATGTACGTGGTTACGTTTATGCTTTTCTTTTTGTAAAACCATTTTTCAGAGCTCTTTAGCACGCCTCCATTTCTAAAAACAATCATCTTTGTCTTTTCCAAATTTACAGACAGTCCCCACTGGTTACAATACTTCTCCAAACAATTGATCTTCCTTTGCATGTCTACAATATTATCTGAAAATAAGCACATGTCATCTGCGTACATTAAATTGCGGGTTTGTTCATCATTGCTTAATAGCTCAACTCCTTTAACATCACTGTTTTTCAACATCAATTCAAATTCAGAAACATACATATTGAACAAAAGTGGGCTAAGAATACATCCTTGACGAACACCAGACAAGCAATTAAAATATTCCGTAATTTCATGCTGGCCAGTACGGACAGAGCACATAACTTCCGAGTACATACTTTGTAGTAATGTTAACATTTTCCCTCTCAAGCCTCTTTTCCTCAAGACTGCCCACAGTTTTTCATGGGGGACGCAGTCAAATGCTTTGGAAAAATCAACAAAAAGTACATAGAAGCGCCCACGTTTCTTTGAAAGGTACTTTTGGACTATTGATTGAAGCGAGAAGATATGATCGATAGTGCTATAACCTTTACGAAACCCTGCTTGCGATTCGGGAATTACTTTGGTCTGCTCGGCCCATTCCGCTAGTCGTGAATGCAATATACTAGACATTATCTTGGATAATATATTTAGAAGTGCAATGCCCCTGTAGTTGTTTGCATCTGAAGGACTTCCTTTCTTGAGGATAGGATGTATTAGTGCTTGACACCACATTTTTGGGTACTTCCCTGTGTTAAAAATGACATTAAACAACAAACACAGGTATGTTATCAAGGAAGGACATGCATTAGAATAGAATTCAGGACCAATCCCGTCACATCCGCTAGCCTTTCCTTTCTTCAGTTTTCTCAGAACACTTTGAACTTCAGAATTCGTGATTTCATTATCATACAGGTATACATTTGTGTCTAAATCCTCATTTGTTAAAACTACTTCATGATCAACTTGTGTCTGTAATAAATCCTCTGATGATTCATTATTTCTGGGATTTAGCAAGTCTTTAAAATGACAATAAAATTGCTCTGGTGTGGCCTTAGCCGCATTAAATGAGCCATGAGTACGCATCATTTTAGTAACCTTTTGCCAAAATGATTTTGATCGTTTATCAGTAAGGTCTTGTTTTAAACTTTCTACTGTCTGGGCATCACAGATTTTCTTTTTTAACGCACACATCTCCTTAAAGTCTTTCTTTGCTTCAAGGAATTTATCCAGATCATTTGAGCTGTTTGTTCTGTGGAAATCGTGGAGGTGAAGATATTTTACTCTCTTTAGCCTTTCACATTCGTTATCCCACCACAATGGTTGACGAAGCTTACTATGCTTTCCTTTCTTTTGCTTATTGGTTTGCATGTCTCCTGCTGATATTTTAATGCATTGTTGTAAAACATTACAGGCAGAGTCGACATCATTGAGACTTAAATATGACAAAAACATATCATGTTCTTCATTTAATAATGATTCAAGCTTTTCAACATAAGTGCTTCTCATTGTTTCTTTCCACGTGAGCCGCAACAACCGGCTAAGTTCAATCTCACATTCAACATTTTCACTAGTGTCATCATGTTCAATGTAAATTTTAAACAACACTGACAGTGGGAAATGATCTGAGTCTGGCCTTGGCATGACAGAAAAACTAAAGATCTTCTCAAACATTCCCTTGCTCACAATAACATAATCAACAATTGTTTTTCCCTTATTAGCAATGCATGTGACATTCCCTTCCTCATCTCCCGGTGTCCTGCCATTCGCAATGTACAATGAATTTTCTTTACAGAAACTAACTATTTGCTTTCCATAACTATTTGTAAAGGAAGCGTCCCGTGACTTTCTTTGGGTACAAATTTCTTCTAAAACATCATCTGTTTCTTCAAAACCAGACAAAAGTTCATGTACGTTATTTTCAACAAAGTTATCATCTAGACGTCCTGTCCTTGCATTCAGATCCCCTCCGATTATCCACTCAACTTCTCCTAACTTATCGCTAATATCATGATATGTCTTCACAAGAGACTGTACACCTTTAACCGTTTCATTATTAAACACAGGCGAAAATTCATGAGGGAGGTAGGGGAAGCATAGGACCACTTTACGATCTGTTTGTAAACAGGTCTCTTTCAACAGTAAACAAACACATTCTTTCATAGAAATTTCTAGCTTTGTGACTTGGGTCCCTAACGACCGACGAACAAAAACAACAACACCCCCACCTAACCCGTGCTCACGTTTTGCAGAGTAAATATTGTACTGGGGAAAAGCGAGGAGCAATTTTTCTTCACTACATGAGTAGACCTCCGAGCAAGCAAAAATGTCATACGACGAACAAAAGTGGACAAAATCAAGGTTAAACAATTTTTGTGATATGCCATGAACATTCCAACACATAATTTTTAAAAACATTGCTTGGGTGTTATTTATTGTTGTTGCAAGTCTGGGCCGGCCGTGTTCCTATTCTTTTGCTGTTGTTGAAGCCAAAGACTGACCCTGCTGTCTCCTTGTGGCCACACCACCGTCCCTGCCCCCCGTTGCCTCACCACCGCTCCCCGACTGACTGCGGGTGACCCTCTGTTGCTGTCGTTGCCCACGGGGCTCGGGTCGGCGCGGTTGGCTGTTGTCCTGTGGTGGTGACTGCTGGCCGTGTTGTGTTTGTGTATGGGTGACGTCTTCCACGTGAAGTCTTCCATTTTAAAAAAAACCACGTTTCCCCTTTGCTCTCAGGTCTCTAAGTTCTTCTCTTTGCCGCGGTGTAAGATCACCGGCGACACTCACCCCCTGCTCCTTTAGGTCCTCTCTTGCACCCAAAACAAGGAATTTGTCCTCCGCATATTGGAATCTTGCAATAATGGGCCTGGGGCGGTCCTTCTGCCTCTTGGGCCCCACTCTATGTACCCGTGTGAAATCACGATCTTCCCAGCTTTTCTCTGTCACTTTTCCAAGTATTTCTACTACCTTTGTTCTTGCTGTTTGCGGCTCCTCCCTCAAATCCTCCGGCACACCATAGAACATTAAATTTTCCCTCCTACTGTACCTTTCTGCCTTTTCCATCTCCCCTTCCAATCTAATAACGTTATCATGCAGTGCAGCACATTTCGAGTCAACTTCTTCAATGTCAAGACATTGCACGTGCTGCTGTTCCTTAATTTCACAGACTGAATTTTTTATTGAAGCTATTTCGATCTCGAAGCGCTCCAACTTTGCTCTAAAGTTCTTAATTTCATTTTTAATTTCAGAAAAGTTGTTCTCACTGTACTTTCTAAAGGCTTTAAGCTCCTCTAGGATCTCCAAGCTTATTTCCCTTGACTCGTGATTTTCCATGCTTTCGGAACAAACTGTGGGCTACTCACAAAATAAATATGTCGGACTGTTTTGCTCTTCACTTCACAGATAGCAGAAGGGAAATTCGACAAACACTCGTTGTTCACAGACCGGACAAACACACCAGTTGCAAACAAGCACTCTTCACAACCCAACACTCACTGTTACACACAATATCGACACAATATCTGTCGGGCATTTAGAAACAACCAAGAAAATCACAGACCGACACAAAACACAGCTGCACTCTTGCCAGATCAAAAAGAGAGAGCAGAGAGAGAGAGAGAGAGAGAGAGAGAGAGAGAGAGAGAGAGAGAGAGAGAGAGAGAGAGAGAGAGAGAGAGAGAGAGAGAGAGGGAGGAAGAGAAAGAGAGAGAGAGAGAGATAGGGAAGGAGGGAGGGAGAGAAAGAGAGAGAGAGAGGGGGGAGGGAGGGAGGGAAGGAGGGAAAGAGGAAGTGAGGAAAGGAGAGAGAGTGGGAGAGAGAGAGAGAGAGAGAGAGAGAGAGAGAGAGAGAGAGAGAGAGAGAGAGAGAGAGAGAGAGAGAGAGAAGTGAAACAAACTCGTACATTGTCCATCTTGTCCAGAGAGAGAGAGAGAGAGAGAGAGAGAGAGTGAGAGGGAGAGAGAGGGAGAGGGAGAGGAGGAAACAAACTCGTACATTGTCCATCTTGTCCAGAGAGAGAGAGAGAGAGAGAGAGAGAGTAAGAGGGAGGGAGAAGGAGAGGGAGAGGAGGAAACAAACTCGTACATTGTCCATCTTGTCCAGAGAGAGAGAGAGAGAAAGAGAGAGAGTGAGAGGGAGGGAGAGGGAGAGGGAGAGGAGGAAACAAACTCGTACATTGTCAATCTTGTCCAGAGAGAGAGAGAGAGAGAGAGAGAGAGAGTGAGAGGGAGGGAGAGGGAGAGGGAGAGGAGGAAACAAACTCGTACATTGTCCATCTTGTCCAGAGAGAGAGAGAGAGAGAGAGAGAGAGAGTGAGAGGGAGGGAGAGGGAGAGGGAGAGGAGGAAACAAACTCGTACATTGTCCATCTTGTCCGGTCGGTTGGTGGCGGCCATGATGAACACGTCCTTGAGGTGTTCCAGTCCGTCCATCTCTGTGAGGAGCTGGGTGAGCACTCTGTCCTCTACACCACTGCTGGACCCAGAGCTGAAAAACAGACAGTTTATTTTAGTGGAGGTTTTACGGCGCTCGCAACTGCATAAGGTCATATGAGCGCCAGAAGATTAGAGCAGTTACAAGAGAGTAACAAACATAAAAAAGAAGAAGGGGAGAAAAGGACGATAGATGTTTGATAGGAAAGAAGAAGCAAACCACACCAGAGCACCCGCCAACCACCCACACAGACAGGAATCGACCTCAGACGGTATACCAAGTAAAGCTGTAGCAAAACATCTCTTCAACTGACTTATGATCAATGATCAGTCGTTTTTTTGTGTTTTTTTTACATAATTGTTCGTACAACCAGTTTTGAAAGCTCATATTTTTCCTTCAGCATTGCCAAGTCCATAAGGAGCAACCACAAGACCACTGCCACCACAACTATTGGAACTAATTCAGTGTGCCCACCTTCCTCTCTTGGCGGCTATGGCATCAATTACGAGTCTCGTAGTCTAACCACAAGACAAGTGTGACCACAACTATTGGAACATAATTCAGTGTGCCTACCTTCCTCTCTTGGCGGCTATGGCATCAATTACGAGTCTCGTAGTCTAACCACAAGACAAGTGTGACCACAACTATTGGAACTAATTCAGTGTGCCTACCTTCCTCTCTTGGCGGCTATGGCATCAATTTCATCAAAGAAGATGACGGAAGGAGCGGCGGCTCTGGCCTTGCGGAACACCTCCCTGATGGCTTTCTCCGACTCCCCCACGTACTGATTGAACAACTCCGGGCCCTGACGGGAAAGAAAGTATAGTTTCAGTAAGAGTTTTACGGCACTTGCAACACAATAAGGTCATATAGGAGCCGAAGATTAGAGGTCTTACAAGGCAGTAACAAATCCCTATCGTGTTAAAAGATACTTGACAATGCATACATTTCCAGAGAGTAGAATGTATATTTATTGGAAGTAGAGCTCATTTGTGAAGGAGTTGAGATGTTTGATGATACAAAAAAATGGGATAAACGAATCGGATATCAGCTCAAATTATGATCAATTATTCCGCCATGACACTACAGAATGAAACTAACAGCCAATTTATTTGCCCGTTGACACTAAGAGGCTTAACTCACTGACTACTGGCTCCTCTCACCAGTCACTAGTAGTGCTGAATACTGGTGTTTTTGGGGGAGTATTTCAAAACATCCCCATAACTCTCAGAATTACCCAATTGTAATTATTTTTTGAGACAGTAAATTTACGTTCAAGTATAATCTAATACAAAAAACAAAAATTGTCTAAGTATAATACTTTAATTTTTACGACTTAAAAAAAAATTGGCATGAATTTGATTTTCCGAAAAATTTCCAGAGACCCAACAGACAGACAGAAATTTACAACAACAAAAATAAAAGTTCAAAGTGTTCTGTTTTGAATTGTATGCTTGTGTGAGTGTTCTGTGAAAATATAGAATCTGGGCTATGCGTCGATTCCAACCCATAAATTGAAATATATGAGACATATAACGCACGAAGTTGTGATTTTGTTACGCTTACAACAGCACCAGTACTAGACCTAGCCCTAAAACTACCACTCGGGCCGTGTTTGGGTACATATACAAGGTCTTAACTATCAGACACATCATAATCTGAGTCACTAGAACTAGTAAAACGAACAGAGGTATCGAAAACAGCGAAATTATGCGATTCTTGTTCATGCAACTTCTTCAACCATTACTTTGACACGCCTGTCAAATTAGTATCAGCTGTAAAGATAAAACATAGCACGAGTTCCGGTCAGTTCAACCCCAGTTGGGGTGACTGTCCTTCACCTTCAATAACTTAAAAAGTTACCACGCAACTTCCGCCAAACTTGGAACAAAACGATAAAAGCAATAAATCTAGCACGGGAGTCCGTTTCTGTACATGTGACGGAGCACAAGTTTCGGAACCAAACCGCAAAGTCCAACCCATTGGGGGTACAGGATCTATACCAGTGAACCATAGTCAGTGATTTAACTTTTAAGTTTGGTGTGCCACTCTGGAGAGCAACTAGGGAGCAGCACTCACTTTGACAGCCAGGAAGTTGAGTCTACACTCTGTGGCCAGTGGTCCTCCCCCACCCCCCCCCCAACACTCACTTTGACAGCCAGGAAGTTGAGCCTACACTCTGTGGCCAGGGCCCGCGCCACCATAGTCTTGGAACAGCCCGGTGGGCCGTACATGAGGAGCCCACGAGGGGGTTCGATCCCCAACTCCTTGAACACCTCGGGTCGACTCAGCGGTAGTTCCACAGCCTCCCTCAGCCTCATCTTCACCTCCGACATGCCCCCAATGTCTGACCATCGAACCTACAAAGATGGAAAAACAGGAGGAGAAAACATTTTGGAGACACAAACACAGAGAGATAGAATGAGATATTGTTTCCACTATGGGAATCACAGTATTGAGATTTTAGTTTGTTTAGTTTTAGTAGAGGTTTAACGGCGCTCGCAACTGCATAAGGTCATATGAGCGCCAGAAGATTAGAGGTGTTACAAGAGAGTAACACACATAAAAAAGAAGAAGGGGAGATAAGGACGATAGATGTTTTACAGGAAAGAAGAAGCAAACCATACCAGAGCACCCGCCAAACACCCACGTATTGAGATCTCACAGCCACTGGATATGTATATTGCAGTACAAAGAGTACTTTGCAGCTAATAATAGTTATTATCACTTCTATACCCCCCCAAAAAAAACCCTCAGAAATAAAACAAATAAACTGAAACAAGTTTTGACATCTGCTCCTGCTTTTCTCATTTTTAGCAAAATATGACAACAGTGTTAGTGTTCCCAGACACTCTCGTCACAAAATATCAAAACAAGTTTTTCTGAAGTCTCAACACAGACAGCTCTCATAAAAAGAGCTGCAAGATCCTATGGAACACAGCAAAACGACGCAGTAACAAAATGTTTGATTTTTTTCCGTAAGAGTTTTACGCCACTTGCAACACAATAAGGTCATATAAGTGCTGGAGATAAGAGGTGTTACAAGAGAGTAACAAACACAAAAAGAAGGAGGAGAGATAAAGACGATAGATGTGTGACAGCAAAGAAGACCTATTAGACACTGCAGCAAACAGAATGCACTCAAAGTTCAGCGACTACAGAATTGTTATATATTGCAGTTTACAGTTTCAACACTCTGGAGTGATGGTTCCTTCTACTTCTTTTCAAAGTTCAGTACTGTCTTTACTTTATTTTACTTTTCTGATCCAGCATCCATTTGAGTTCTAGCCCTTTGGCCTGAAAGTGCTGTCTGAAAATCTGGAGAGGAGATATGATATAGCCGTTACTGTATTGGCTTTGGAAAAGCTTCACCTAACAACCACATCCTCTCGGGAAAAATCGGAAGCTGCCACCGACTCATTTGCTGCTGCCCACTATGTGACTACCCCTCAGAGACCGTGGAACACCATTTACTCTTCTGGAGAAAACTGATTTAAGGGGATGTTTTCTTCCCAAGCTACCTCACATTATCTAACTGCCTCTACTCCTCAAGACAACAATTAGAACCGATATGCAGCTATTACAGAATGGCATCATGCATAAGAGTTACTGGATCGCTAACAACAACAACAACAACAACAACGGACTCACCTGAGGCACCTCCAGTTGTACCTCCCTCAAGGCGCTGGGCTTGACTTGGAGCCCGGCGTTGACCAAATCCTCCAGTGTTATCTCCCTGGATGAGCCAGAGTCTCCGCCGTCGGACTGGTGGCGGCTGAAGGCCTGCATGCACGCTGGAAATACAGGGCATCCACCAAATGTTGAAATTGTTCAGTTATTTGTTTTTTAATGTAAAAATTTAAAAAATAATTACAAAGATAAAAGTTATTAACAAGTTGAAACTCATATATATTCGTCATTCCTTATTTACACTATTCATTTCTAAAAGTTGAATCCTAACATTGACACAAAAAGAAAAAAAAAGAAACACAAGTTTTGAGACAATTTGGAAGTAAAACCCTGACAAACGCCATAATTGATAGTTCACTCTGCCATGCAAAGTGGTGGTGTGTGTGACAGACTCTTGCACTCGTCCATCCATTTATCATTTCACTTGCCAAGATTTTCACACTTTATGTCAAGCCGAGAGCTATTATATTCAATACTGATCAAGATCAAACATACTGCTTAAACGTACTGTCCTAGTTGAAAAATGGAGACCTGATAAAAAAAGGATTAGACATTTTGAAAGTATGGGACTTGGTACCATCAACATGACACCAGAAAAAGAGTTAAAAAGAGAGTGAGACAGAGAGAAAGAGAGAGAGAGAGAGAGAGAGAGAGAGAGAGAGAGAGAGAGAGAGAGAGAAAGAGAGGGAGAGAGAGAGAGAAAGAGACAGAGAGAGAGAGGGAGAGAGAGAGAGAGGGAGAGAGAGAGAGAGAGAGAGAGAGAGAGAGAGAGAGAGAGAGAGAGAGAGAGAGTGAGAGAGAGAGACTGACCTTCATTGACAAGAGCAGACAGATCAGCCCCCACATAACCATGAGCGTTCCCTGCTACTGTGGTCAGCTCACTGTCACTAAGTCTGTGAGACAGCTTGCCTAGCAGGACTTTCAATATCTGGAGAAAGAAGCTTCTATTTGTGAGTCTATTTATACATTTATGCATATATTATGTGTCACGACTTGGTGGAATCAGGCGCTCGTCAATGTTTGGGCATATGGAGTTATCAGTATCATCTTAAAGCTTACTCATTTGTCTCGTATTCAGTGAAAAAAATACCCATCTAACTTAAGTAGAAGTCGAGATATTTGGGATTGAAGAAGGTGGGGGTTGCCTGGTGTCAGAGGTAAAATTAGCAAGAAAATGGACGCCAAAGTTTGTTAACTTCTAAAGCTTGAGTGTCCTTGAAAACTAGATATTTTCCTTTTTTGCACCTTTGAACAACATTTTTCAGTAAAATCAACACAGAAATGGGTTTTTGAATGGACATAAAAGGTGTTGAGCCAATTTTTTAAAATTTGAAAAAATTTGCCTAATGGTAAAAAAATTGCTGTTTTCTTTGGTTTTATATTTTGACAAGCCCCTGATTTCACCACGCTGCCTCACATATGTATGTTTAGCCATTGTTATCCAAATTTCCCCACGGAGATCAATAAAGTGTAAAGTATTCATTCATTACTTACAACTGGATTGAATAGCTAGAAAAAGCAGCCATTTTGAAGTATGGAAACGTTCCTCGAGAGAGACTATAAATAAGCATTATACGATAACTTAGCTTACCTCCACCCTGGCTACAGCTGACGGCACAGGCACCTCTACTTCACAGCCGAACCGACCCGCTCTCCGCAGAGCAGGGTCAAGGCCATCTCTGTTGTTTGTGACGCCCAGGACCACCACCGGCTTCGACATGCCTTTCTGACCAAGAGTAGAAACACATAAGAACATGGTAATAAGCTCATCATCATACATACTAATAAACTCACCATCGTACATAATTATAAACTCACCATTATACTAATAAACTCATCATCATCAATACGTTTCACCCCTGGCAGGGTATAGGCCACATACAAGCCCCCTCCATTTATCTCTGTCCTGAGCCATCCTTCCAAGCTCGTTCCAAGTGAGCTTCATTTCTCTCATGTCCCTTTCCACACATCTCCTCCATGTTTCCTGTGGCCTACCCCTGCCTCGTGCTCCTTGTGGGTTCCACTGCAGTGACTGTCTTGTGATGTTTCCGCTGGGCTTTCTGATGGTGTGTCCCAGCCACTTTCTTAGTCCTATTTCTACTTCTATATCCTTTTGTCCTGTCCTTTCCCACAGCTCTTCATTTCTTATTCTGTCCTGCCACTTAATTCTAAGAATACTCCTCATACATCTATTGATGAAAGTCTGGACTCACCATCGCACATGATTCTAAACTCACCATCATACACAACAATCAACCCATCACTGTATATCACAATAATCTCACCATAGAGGTTATCCCATCAATGAGAGCCAGCAAGGTTCCAACAATCCTGTTCTCCTGCTGCCCACCGTGATTCTGGGAGCGCCGAGGGCAGATCACGTCAATGTCATCCATCACGATGATGCTTGGAGCTCTGCAGATATCGCAACGGATCAATGTCAGGGACAGACACAGAGTCAGCAGCAGATGAACATACTTGATAACCTAACTTGTCATACAAACAAATATATAAAAAGACTTTCTGCATTTCCTTTTTTCCCCCCCCTCCTTTCAAGAAAACCAAACAGGAAAGATAAATTTATAACTTAGGAAAGATTCACTCACCCGCGTCACCCCCTAAATTTGGAAAATTTAGTTCACTTGCCTTGTACTTTACAGCTAGTCGACATGACGGTAGCCACATGACAGGAGGAACAGATATAAGAACAGGGTGGGGGGGGGGGGGGGGGGGGGGAGGGAGGAAAGAGTACAAGAAGTTGACCACATCAGAGAATCCACTATAAATCCACTTGACCACATGGATCCCCAACTAGCTGAAGTTGAGGTAGGAGTAATATTCTGAGTAGTGTACTGCAAAATAATAAGAAGTCTGTATATTTGTATATCCCCCCCCCCCCCCACACACACACACACACACGCACACTCCACTATACCCTCCTAAAAGAAAATAAAAAGTGTGAAAAAGCTCGGGTAAGTTCTCCATTTTGATTCTCCCACTAACATGATTGAGCGAATGAGTTAAGGAAGAAACTTTGCTGTACCTGTCACAAGCATCTGTGAAAAGCCTTTTCAAATTAGACTCCGCCTCCCCAAACAATCTGTGAAAAAAAAGAAGTAGAAAAGACAAGCTATATTAATCATTTTGACCAAAATCCTTCAAAACATAGAGGAAAAAAAGAATTGTTACAAATTTGAAGACAAAAATAAATCACAAACAAGAGCCATTTGTGAGGCAGCGTGGTGGAATCAGGCTCTCGTCAATTTTTGGGCATGTAGAGTTATTGGTATCATCTTAAAGCTTGTTCACTTGTCTTTATTTCAATGAAATTAATATCCATTTATCTTGAATACAAGTCGAGATATTTGCGAAAGAAGGAGGTGGGGGTCACTTGTTTTCAGAAGTAAAATTAGTGAGAAAATGGCAGCCAAAGATTAGTTATTTCCTTAGCTTAATAGTCCGCGGTAACTGAAAATTTACATCTTTTGTGCCTTTAATCAACATTTTTCAAAAAAATCCACACTGGAATGAGATTTTTAATGGGCATGAAAGGTGTTGAGCCAAAAAACAAAAATTTGATAAAAATTCACAAACCTGCGGAAAAATGCAAGTTTCTTCACTTTGATTATTTTGACGAGAGCCTGATTCCACCACGCTGTCTCACATTTATACATTGCATATATCAGAGTTCCAACAAACCTGATAGCTGATATGCTCTGATAGCAACCAGTTACAACAAAGGGCGTAACTATGGTACAAAGCATTTTTCAAAACACTTTTAAAAAGACGTGTTTCCTTCCCATGCCCTTAAGATTTGGAACTCCCTTTCAAAAGAAATGCATTTTATAATAATAAATAATAATAATAATATATAACATTTATAGAGCGCATTTCCAAAAAAAGTAGCTCAATGCGCTTTACATTGGAATACCCATTTTTCAAAAACCTTTCTTACTACTTCCTTTCTTCTCAAGCAATATACATTAATGCACACACACACACACACACACACACACACACACACACACACACACACACAGAGAGACTATTTTCATCCAGACATAGGAAAAGAACAAATATAATGAAAGATAACGTTAAAAGCTTATGAAGGATAGGCCTGTAGGAACAGAAAATGTTTAAGATGTCTTTTGAAGCTATCAAGTGTTCTTATTTGTCTTAGTTTCATGGGTAATCTGTTCCACATAAATGGACCAAGATATGAGAAAGATCTCTCTCCATATGATTTGTATGATTTTACAGGTGTCACAAGTAGGGTGTTATCGTTCGATGATCTTAGGTTTCTCCCTGGTTTATATATACTGATAAGTTCTTGTAGATAAAAAGGAGCAGTTTTATTTACACATTTGAAACACATGACGCAGATTTTAAATATTATTCGTTCTTTTACAGGGAGCCAATGCAGTTCTTTTAATAATGGAGTGACATGGTCTCGTTTTTTAGATCTTGTTATCAGTCTAGCGGCATTGTTTTGAATTACTTGTAAACGATTTTATGTCATTAGAGAGAGAGTTGAAGATGTGTTTTAAGACAAATTTATTCAACACTATACTCTACTAGTAGTTTTTGAAGGTGAGAATGTGTGTGGGTCAGTGAATTGTGTGTGTATGTATGTGTGTGTGAGTGTCTATGTGTATATATGAGTGTGTGTTGTTAAATGGTCTCACAAGGTACATTTTCTGTCTTTTGATCTGGAATGATAATTCTGCACTGCACAGCGCTTAGAGCCTTTTAGGAAACAGGTACTATAAAAATTCAAATTATCATTACAATTATTACTGAAAAAAAAGACAAATTTTGAAAAAAAATCATTTTCGGAGCGACTAAAAGACATACTTGCTCCACACGTCAGTCCCTGAAACGTGCACACTGTGGAGGTCAAGCTGAGAGGTCAAGGCCTTTGCCAACATGGTTTTCCCCGTGCCCGGCGGTCCGTACAGCAGAATACATCGACTTGAGCTCCGGGTATGCTGGGCTGGGAGAAACAGAGAAGCTTCAAATAAAACATACGCACAATATCAAACATTTCGCGACCTCCGTGCTTTCTTGTCATATCTCCATTTTCTTAAAGAGAGAAAATGTGACTTTTTCTTAAGCTCACTCTTTGTTACGAACTGTCTTCACTGTTATTAAAAATGGATATACGACAAGAAGGCACTGAGGTCGCAATTTATGAGATACATTTATGCATGCACTATATTTTTTTTAATGTAGGCATATTACGCCCCTAGTATTTTTACTAGGCAATCTGAGTGAGGTACACCCTGACCATGCTTCTTCTCATATAAAGAATGGCTCTAACACAACGGGTAATTTACAAAGTGTAGAAATAATTTTGGCAAGACAAAAATTCACATAATAGGGAACAAACAGTATGACATTAACAGCAGTGAAAAGTGGGTGCCTGATTCTAATTACTCCCCCCTCTTGAAAAAAGTAATTCTAACAGTTTACGGAAAAAAACTTTCAAAGATTTCTATTGAAAGGCATTTTTGGAAAAGTAAGTACCGGTAAGAAAAACAAAGTTACCTCTCTGTATTCTGGACTTGAGTTCCTCAATCTGAGATGAAAGCCCGCCTAAATCAGCTAAAACTGGGCCAGGCGCACCATCATCCTTCAGGCCACCAGTTCCTGAACTATCACATGAAACAGTTGAAATCCTTGTCACTTTGGAACAGATACGAGAGAATTTGTGGTCACAAGTCGGAATAGTTCTGACAAACTGAGGAGTTCCTAAGTGGGAGTAATTTGGTTTCTGTGAACTTTTCGGAGTGGAAGCATGGATGTTCTGAGCCGCATCAGATATGTTCAAGGAGGCTAATGATTCTGATAGGTCAGTGTTCGTGGCGTTGAGCACAGAGTCATTGTCAAGGTCAGCAACTTTATTCGTCTGCGGTGATTCAGTGAAAGACGAGGCATCCCTTTGGCTGACTTGCTTGTGGGGGGTGTCAGCGAGTTGGGAACTGTACGCTGCAGTGTTTGCGTTCTGGAGTTCAGGAGAGGGTCTCTCAACACCGTGGCAAATGCTGTCAACGGAGCACACACAAACTTGGCCAAAGTATCTGATCTGCAAGGGGCTGTCTTCTGTTATAAAACAGCCATCTACAACAGAAGGAAAAGAAAAGTGGAAAAATCAGAAAAATCTAATTACAGTATAACACAGACAGTTCGAATTCGTCGAGGCCAGCCTCAGTCGTTTGAGGGCTCCACAGTTCAAGGGATATCTTACGAAGATAAAGAAGAAAAAAAACCCCTACAACTGCAGGCACAGTTCCACAGAAGCCAGATTTCAAGTCTTCTGTGTTTGAACTATCCGTGTTATACTGTATTTGTCCAATAATTTATATAAAATAATTGTACTACACTCTATCTCAATCACTTTCCCCAAATGAGCAAAAAAGTATTTTCAAAACCCAGACAACTCAACAGAAATACTTTGGATTATTATTTATATTATTTATTTTATGATTCTCCTGGACGGTTCAAAAGAAGTCCCAAATAACATGAAAACTTATCTGACCTTGGTAACCCTGTAAAAGCTGTTGTTCTAAGATAGTACAAAATAGGGGAAAAACAGGGTCAACTAGGAGGAAATTGTCCAAATATAATTTGCTTTTTATAAGCCGTGACATTCATATGTTATTTGGCTAAATGAGAACAGAGCTTTACCTAAATACGATGAAGCAAAATTGCAGAATTCTTCCGTTTCAAAGACTGGACTCTGCTCCCTGTTTGAGAAATATAAAATATTACAAAATACAGAGAGGATGTAACGAGTTGAAAAAAAAATGGGTTAAAAAATGTTTTAAAGTGTCTTTACGAGTTGCACAAGATTCCTTGTCAGAATATAGACAGATATAGATGTATACTCTTTTCTTTCATTACACATAAAGTAATATTTCAGAGCCAACTTGTTCACAAGACTTCAACAAAAAAAAGTTCACAAAGCCATGGGCCTGCAAAATGTAAATCGTCTCTTTACAAGGCTTAATTCAGTTCATCTGTTGGCATAAAGCACAACAATGTGTAAAGGAAAAAAAGTATAAAGACAGAAAAGGAGGACAAAAATATAAGCAGTATCATTTAATGAGAAAAAAGAATGAGGGGAAAAAAAAATGACGGGGCGGGGAAATGAAAGAGTGGTAAAACAAACAGGAGAAAGAAGAAAAAGCAACTGGTGAAAGACTCAGACAGAGTACCAAGCTCGGCTTACTGTAATCTCAGAGCACAGGATTCAGTCACCGTTTCCGTGGGCAGAAATCTCTGCACAGTCACCTCTCCGCCAACAACCAATCCTAACAGCTCTAGACAAGAGCCAGTGATGGCAACAGACGTCAGTGCTGGCATTTTGGCCGGCCAGGACCTCATGACGCATACATTGTTCACTACACAATGTTGACCGATAGACAGACCACACACTTGCATGGCAGGAATGGACAGCCAAATTGTACCATCAGAGTTTCGGATGCTTTTGGTAACAGGAGTCCCATCTGAAAAAGAAAGAGTGACGAAGTAAAAACAAAGTAAGCTTCATTAGCAATTCCATAGCTTTTTGTACTTGCAAAAGTATAATATAAATACATACACATATGTACATGTATATGTATATGTGGCATCTGTCTAATAGCAGCTTCCTCAAAAAGCAAGCCATAGTTACAGTTAGGCAGTGGCTTCTGCAAACTGAATTTTCAAAGGGGTGTGATCTACCCATCCACCTTCTTCCGACATACCCAAACCCACAAGTTTTTCTAGCCCGGATGTGGTGGTATTGTAACATCTTGGAATGAAAAGACAACAAAGGCAAGGTCAGCTTTCAAGTGAGCCCATGCTCCATCATAGGGCAGCAATGTTACGCAAAGTAGCCAAAACTTTCCCCCCTCAACTGAGAGACTCTTAAAGGAAGGCAGCTCTTGGTGACAGGGCGTGAACTGAGCTACTGTACTTTTTGCCCCAGGAAGGTGTTATGTAGAAATAAACAAGAGAGGAACAATGTACTTTTAGTTTTTAGTTTTAGTAGAAGTTATACGGCGATGCACTTACACTGAAATTACAGGCCATTCTCATTGTTCACAATGTTTTTGAATCGACAGTAAAACAATTTGTCAGACATTTCATGGCAATGAAGCCTGCTGTTCCAGGATAGAGGAAAAGGTTGCTATTCAAAGGGGTTTTATTTTCAAGAAATGAACAAGTGTCCAAGAAACTAACTGAGGATCAAATGGACAGACAGGGTCACCAACAAAGACGTGTCAAAGAAAGCAAGACAGATCCCAGTCAGAGATGAGGTAGAAAGACCAGGAAGTCAGGCAGCTCCATACACAACAAAGAAAGGGTAAAAGATCAAGGGGAAGACTGTGTGAAACCTGGAGAAAAATCACAGAAATCGATGTACAGAAAAGTGGGAAGACATGGAATAACATCAAGAGGCTAGCCCAGGATAGAGAAGGGTGGAAAATGTTTGTCTGTGGCCTATACCATGGGTGCAGGGTGAGAAAGGTAATGATGATGATTTTCAAAAAAATTCTTGCACAAAAGATTAGGCTCATGTTAGGGAAAGATTGCTCTTATAATAAATCTGGGCTGCTGTTAAGTGGACACCACTAAATATTCACATTCTGAAGAAAAGCACAGAGCAAAATCATGGTCATGTGGACCCAGGGAACTGAAAGAAAAATAGCTGACAGACTTTGTTATAACCATTGCACATTGTATATAAATGAAAGGCATGTATAAATTATTCGTGCTGTTAAAAAAGTTGCTCGCATTTAATTAAATTTGTTTTTAGTTTAGTTTAGTTTTAGTAGAGGGTTCAACAGTGCTGGCAACTGCATAAAAGGTCATTGAGCGCCAAGGGGTGGGTGTCAACAGGGTTGGTGATTTTTTTGATTTTTTAAATAAAAATTTAAAAAATCGATTTTTTAAATTTAAATCAAGATTTTAAAAATTTAAATCAGATTTTTTTTTTTTTTAAATGTCGACACAGTTTGGGATATTTGATATTTGTTCTTTTAGTGCAAAATGCATTGTCTTTATTTTAACTAATGATTAATTTAAGCAACTGCAAATGTAAGCCTTAATCTGCTATATATCAGTGAATTATGGCTAGACAAAAAATGAAGAAAATGTCAGTCTAAAAGAAAGGGGGGGGGGGGGGGGGGGTAATTATGCATAGATAAACTTGCATTTTAATACAGTGTGTGTGTGTGTGTGTGTGTGCCCGCTTGTGTTTGTCTAAAAAGAAAAAGAAAATGCTAATTTCAATTAATTATGAAAAAAAAAAGTAAATTGAATACTGTATTATTTTACAGTGACTGGGGGGAAAGCAGACGTTTAAGCATGATTATATTAGTCTACTAAACCTTATATCTGTTTTATAAAACCAAGGAAAGGAATTCTGAATGTTTAAAGATGTAAAAACAGAATACATTTTTTAAAAAGTCATTAAAATCACCGAGTTTTAATTTTAAAATCAAGTTGATTTAAATTTAAAAAATCAACTGATTTAAATCAACCCAAACCTGATATCAATTAGGAAAAAAAAGTAAATTGAATACACTGTATTATTTTACAGTGACAGGGGGGAAAGCAGACTTTTAAGCATGATTATATTAGTCTACTAAACCTTATATCTGTTTCATAAAACCAAGGAAAGGAATTCTGAATGTTTGAATATGTAAAAACTGAATACATTTGTTAAAAAGTGATTTAAATCACTGATTTTTATTTTTAAAATCAAGTTGATTAAAATATTAAAAAAATCAACTGATTTAAATCAACCCAGCTCTGATTTCAATTATGGAAAAAAAAGCAAATTGAACACTGTATTATTTTACAGTGACAGGGGGAAACAGACTTTTAAGCCTAATTATATTAGATCTAGTCTACTAAACCTTAGATCTGTTTTATGAAACCAAGGAAAGGAATTCTGAATGTTGAAATATGTTAAAAACGGAATAAAAATACATTAAAAAAAAAAGTGATTTAAATCACTGATTTTTATTTTAAAAATCAAGTTGATTTAAATTTTTAAAATCAACTGATTTAAATCAACCCAACCCTGGGTGTCAACAGAGACGTCTTTACAATTAAATTTGTGCAGTTAAAAAAATCTACTTTTGACAAAAGAATGAATTAGACTACGATAGAGTAGTCACACACAGCACGTCCCATCGTCATTGTGCAGAGGATTAAAGTCAGAAAGTCAGGTACAAGAAAATGAGGACAAAAACATTTCACTTGCATCTGACTAACTCTGTTCTAGTAAATTTTCTGTGTTCAAGGAGCTGTCAGTGAACTTACAAGTAAGACTTAATCCACTCATTATCCTTTTTTTTTTTTAGTAAGTGTTTTACGGCACTTGCAACACAATAAGGTCATATAAGTGCCGAAGATTAGAGGTGTTACAAGACAGTAACAAACACAAAAAAGAAGGAGGGGAGATTTAAAGACGATAGATGTTTGATAGGAAAGAAGAAGCAAGAAAAAACCCACACCAGAGCACCCGCCAACCACCCACTAATTATCATTATTGTTGGGTTATAATAAACAAACCTTCTTCAAGTATTGAGTTGGCCTTCACAGCTCTCCCATGAAGCACCTTGCCTTCAATGTAACCACAATCTCGATTGCAACACGATGAATGAGCTTCAGCGTCACTGTTGCTGATCACCCGATTGCAAAGGGAGCATTGCAGCCAGTCTGCTGCTTTTGACTTGTCCTTCTTCTTCGGAGGCATCACTGAAATCATAATTCATTTCACCATTGTATGTGTGGTGTAAGCGCACCTTTAGAATAGGACATGTAGTGTGAACGCACCTTTAGAATAGTTATTGTGACGGAGGCCCAAAAGACATGATATTACGTGACTGACACCTAACATGATTTTGGGCAAGCCGCGGGTAAACTAAGTAGTCACTCACTCACGGGAGCCGAAACAAGTCACATCGGCTAACCAAAAACTAGCAGAAGACCAGAAGATGGGGCCCCACCAACATCCTGTCCCTGTGGTTTTAGGCACCCCGCATATAATTTAGCAAAATTTGACAATTTTTTGCATAATTTCTGATTATTTTCCTTTATTTTATTCTTTGTAAAAATTAACAGAATCGCATAATTTCAAATTTTTGGGCTCAGTTTGCGTAATTTCATTTTTTTTGTGCATAAAACCACAGGGACAGAACATCAACTACATCTAGATCTACTAGTACCGCAAGACTCAAGACAGGGGCTCTCGTGGCCTAGAGGTTAAGGTGTTGGCCTCTCATTCAAAAGGTCCTGGGTTCAAATCCGGGTAGCGACCGAAAAATTTCCTTCTCTAAAATTGTCTCCTTTCACCTCCTTTCCTGCTCTCTAGCAATGTTCTGTTGTCTGCTTTCGTTTCCACTATCTGCCCTCACCTCCTTTGCCCCCTCCTGTGGGCTCCTGACTCTTTCTGCAGCCTTTCTACTGCTACTCCTTGGCTCCTCCTAACTGCTGTCTTTCTGCCACACCCCTGATCTTCCGGTAGGAAAGATCTACACCTAGCCTTCTAGGACAAGGGCAAAAAATCTCGGAGGGCCCGTGCGCAAGTTGCGCACGTTAAAGATCCCTTGGTGGTCTAAAATCGATATTTATATAAGAGTAAGCTTCGGCCGCCACCTGGGCAAAATTCAAAATTTCCTACCAACTGAAAATATTAGGTGTGTCCCGCGCGCTCATATGACCTTATGCAGTTGTGAGCGCCGTAAAAACACTTACCAAAACAAACAAGACTCAAGACTGTACAAGTTACAAGTAAGTCATAACATAACAGTACGTTATATAATTAAACTTTTCAAGGATTAAATTCAGTCCCCAGCAGTGTTATTCAGAACGTACAAATGCACAACCTTGATATACAATAATAGAGTCAAAAGTTCCTAACATCGCCATGGATAGTTTATTTCCGTAGGGTATCAAGGACAGGGTTTGTCGTAAAGTAAAGTAGGCCTAATGTAACGTAAACAAAAGCGTGATGAAAAGAGCAGAGATCAATGTATGGTCGGGCTCTTCATTGACAAAATAAATAAGACAAAAAGGAAAGCGGTGAGGGGGAGGTAGGCTACTGCTAGAAAAAGCCTCCCTAATGTTTTCAGGGCAAAGTGAGACTGAACGACTGCAAGGTTTCAGTGCAAAGGGTGACTGTCTGGGTCTAGAATCGAGCAGTTTTATTGAACTTATTCACCTGGACAGTTAGAAGTGTGAGTGGGTTGGGCCTGGGGGGTAGATCTAGATATCTACTAAATACCCGATAGAAGGCTACAAAACTGCAGTTGAAGACGTCAATTCTTTGCAGCACAAAAGGCTTAGAAATAATAATAGAAGTCAGAAACGTTTTTCAGAAGTGCAGAGATTTCATAGCTATAGGGCGCTGACATATTTAATCACGTGATTTAGTAAATTATTTTAAAAAGAAAGATCTTAGAGTGTAAAACTTCCTACTTTACTGTTTGAATAAACTTGGCCTATCTAAAGTATTTTTCTTGGTAAAGTATTTATATATTATTATTTTATATAATCAACGAAGACATTCTAGATCTAGAACTAGAAACTACTAGGCCTATTGATAGAATTGTTTTCTTTCATGTTCTAAAGAATTCTATTAGGTCGTTGGGCGCTTCCGAGTAGGCTAGTTTTGCAATCTTCATTTTGAGGATTCCACTTCCTTCCGGTACCTCTGAACGTATGGCTTAGGCTAACTGAAGTAGATCTACAACTCCCAAAATTGATATTCGGTGTAATATTTTGTTGTCACAGATTTGTATATCAATATGATTCTGGATCAAGTTGAAGCACTCAAAGTTTGGCTCACGAATAAGCTGTCACCGATGTAAGTACCATACTGTAGAATCTAGATTAAGGTTTTGACATGTGTTCCACTACTGACTGTCTACTGACTGATAGATTGACGAGTCTTCGTTTTGTTGTTTATTTTCTCTTCTGAGGTTTGGGCTACTTGTTCTCTGCTAGGAATTTGGCCAGTCTGCAAGGGAAGATGATCTCTATTCAAAATGCTTTTTAGCATTCAGGTTTCTGTTGTTGTTGTATTTTATCTAGATTTTAGTTCTAGATCTAGATATCTAGATCTAGATCTAGATTAGATCTACTTGTTTTTGGTGGCCACACAACGGAACGACTTCCGTAATGAGCGACCACCCCAACACACACAATTTAGCAATGACCACGAAAAACCTTTTTTTGCCAGAAAGTGTTTGCAAATAGGTGCATTTTGTAGCTTTATCTTCACCAAGCATGGAACTTTTTGAATTTTTAAAATCCATCAATAAACAAAAATGTTACGGATTTTTTAATCAATTAATTTCTGGCCTGGTACACTTTTGTATAAGGCCGGCACTATTTCTCCGAACGTTCGGGAAAATAAAGCTGGGCACTATTTCTCCGAACACTCTGAAATCAGACCCTTTCCCGCATATTTCGGATAATAAAAATAAAATATAGATCTATAATTATATTATAGGCCTACCAAAGATTGTTCGTATACAATATGGAATATGGTTCAATCGGTCCAAAAAATGTCCGTATTTATATAAAGAAATGCTACAGTTCCAAACAGTTTTTCGCTACAGATATGACGTGTGGCCTATGAAGGGTGCTGCTCTTAAACTTAATGTGTTGCGTTCACTCGTGAGCTGTCTAGATCTAGATTAGGCACTTGGATATCGGCCCGCGCGGCCCGAGATTTTCGTTCACCTGCGGCCGCCGCGTTTTGTGTCAGAAATCGGGCCCCGTGAGGGGGGTACCTATTTGTTTTGTTTCGTTTATAGTGTTCTTTTCAATTTATGGATTACTTCCGCCTATCAAATTAAAGAGGAAAGAAAGGCGCGTATTATGGCGTTTTCCACTTCGGGATCGGTTGTGTGTGTTCGGAGTTACAAGGAGTTAAAAATAAGGTAAGTTCAAGCCTTTATATTTAAAGAGTATATCTTTTTTTTTTTAGGTACTCCTCACAGTCTTTTCTTCAACCTTTTATCTCTTTTATTTGTTAATTTCAATGTTGTACGTTGAGGCATAAGCGTGTGAGCCCTAATTTAAATAGGTCACTCTCCATGAATGGGCATGACCTATTATCGATCGCGCTGCTGAGCGTGAACCGGGAGGTCATGGCGGCCATTGCGGAAAGCGAACTTAACCCACGCTAACGTGTATTGTTGGCGTTTATTACCTCTTAAACGGCATTGAAGAATGTTTTATAGTAGAAGATATGATTCATTTTAAATTTTGGAATGTAATATGTATCACTGTTGTATAATTTTTATGAATTTGCACCATGTAACAATCAGTAAGGAGTCTTGGGTGGGGGGAGGGAAATGTAACAGCCTTGGCCTTGTTTTGTTTCTGTGTTACTGTCACTGTTAGACCATCGATTTCACGCAAGTTTTTACTTCTTTTGTGTGCTTATATTGTCTTTAAATATTTTTTCTTCTTAATTGTTTTTGTGTGTGCTTGTTATTTAAATATCTCTTTAAATTTTCATGTACTTTGTCCAGTTTGTTTTAAGATACATGTTTATTAGAAGATGTTTTTTCTCTTGTCTAGTCATCTACACTCTCCCTTTACTAGAGTTGTAGTGTGAAAATGTCAAATTTCCATCCACTGCTCACAAATGAATTTATTTACTTCATTGATGAATTCATTGCTTTGCTTTTTTTTTTCTTTCCACAGCCCCTGATCACAACCTGCCACTGTTCCATTGGATTTATTGACAGCTCACCAGAATAAATCCTGACTTTAATTAAAATCCAGAAATGCTTGCGGAGTTGGTCGAATTCACAGAAAAACTTGTTTGAACAAGTTGCAAAAAAATTGAGCACTTAAGAAAGCATTTGTTGCAGACAAGAAAAAAAAAATTGACATTAATTTAACAATATCAAGTTGGCAGACTGGGTGAACTAAACAATTGCCAGAAATAAAGAAAGAATAAATAAGTATTGTGACACAATTGCGTGCTTCAAAAAACATGTCATATTTCACAACTAATTGTCTTTGAAGAAGTTGAACATTTAAATAAACACAATAAAAATATAATGAAAAACTTGCTGAACAAACTGAAGTAATAAAATTAGAAGAGACTATTGTTTAACTTACAGGGCAATCTCATGAGTTAAAGATGTAAAAGAGAAATCAAAGATAAAGACAGAGTAATTGATCATTTACATGACAAATTAAAACATGAAAGAAACATTCTAACAATAACATGCAAAATGAATTTTAAAAACAGTATTATCATGAATTAAGGTAGACTAAAAAACACTAGTTTGCAGCAGCTGTAGACACAAATGTTAACTTTAAAAACTTCTATGCTCATCTTATTTTAGGCGACCAGCTGTTTTGTTAAAATATATTATATTTTTTAATCAGTTTTTTGTTAATTCTACTGATATTTGATATGTAGATGTTCCAAAAGAAAGGCCTTAAAAAGACCTTCAAAATGATACCTCAATTATTGATGTAGCTTAATTTATAAGAAAGTTATGGCAAAATATATTGACCGCAGGACGATGCGGTCACGTTACACAACACAGTGTTACATAATATTACCCAATATTACCCACCACGACATATTTTAAAAATATCGTCTGACTGTTATTTTGTCCTCAATATCACAAGGTTTCAGAAAATGTTTGGTTTTAGCATGTACGCAGCAGCATATTGAAGCAGCTTACATTTCCCTTATTGTCCTTGCTGTTTCGATCACAAAAATTGCCTTTTTTTTCTATATAGATGTTATCCCCTCGAAAAGATCTTTAAAATGCAATATCTCAAAAACGGTTCAACATAGAGCAATAACTAAGGTAGCGTTGGAATCGTGTCACTGAGCTCTTTGCATTGGTATTGTTTTTAAAGCAATTTGAAAGCTTTGAAATTTTTATCCAAGTGCCTATCTAGATCTATGGAGGGTTATTGATAACGACACATATAGAGCTAGCATCTGCGTTTGTCGAGGCCACGACCAATCAATCGTGGCTCGATTTTTTGGTCCCCGAAAAAGTCAAAAAAAAAAAAAAAGAAAATGAACCTCTTTACTTTTGAAAGAAAGTTCACTTAGCTTCACTTCGTCTCTTTCTCACTAGTTGTCACCACTTTGATTTGTTGAATACGTTACAGTTACATACGATTTGTATTGCTGTTCCTCTTTTATTTTTCGTTTATTTTTCCCTCTTTGTGGTGTTATATTTTGTTGGTGTGTATTTTTTTTTCCTTGATGTGTTGTTTTTCTATTAATTTTTTTTGTTGGGGAAAAATGGGGGGGGGGGGGGGGGGGGGGGGGGTTGTATAGTGTAACGTCATTTAATTTGATGTTTCTACAAAAGGTATTGTGTAACGTCATTTAATTTGATGTTCCTACCTTCATTAGATTCTAAATATATATATATACCTGTATAGATTTAAATGTGCTATGTTAGAGCGTTCCACCAAAACCAATTACATGTACTGACACTGGCAGGCCCCTTGTGTGTGATTCCATAATTTCCATGCAATATCCTGTACTTTTTTTTACAAATGACGCACATTTAGGGTTAAAACGGTCAATCTTCTTCGGACAGGTGGACACACGCCCTTATTTGTTAATTGTTGTGGTTGTTTCTGGGCTGTTCTAGTTTTGATTTCATTCTGTTGTGAAACCTTTCTTTTTCACGTTTTTACACTCATCTAAAAATCTCTAGACTAGATCTAGATCTAGATCTAGCTCTTGAAAATTGAAATAGATCTAAACCCAAAAATTTGCTCCGTTTTTAAAAAAATGTACGATAACCGTCCACTCAATAGAAAAGAGGGTCAGATTTCTCAGTCTCTCGGGTGCCTCAGGCAGTACCCGCCTCGCTAAACCAGTGGGCACACGGCCGGAGGAGAAGCTGAGAACAGATACCACCATTGATTTGCTCCTTCCCAGACCTCGCAGAATGACGGAATGAAAGTTGGCGCCGAACTCTGGCAAATAGGCAAACAATCACGACCAGAGCGGAAGCCGGAAACCGTTCGGAGAAATAAAGATCGGCACTATTTCTCCGAACGTTCGGAGAAATAGTCACTTCGTTTATATAATGAAAAAACCCCAAAATATGGGACGTTCTTTGGTGAGTTTTGAGACAATATTCGTCATAACTCGCTCATTTCTCGGAGTATTTAAAAGAAACTTGGCAACCCAGTGCAGAATCTAGTCCTGCTTTCAGATTCTTCATAGCTATCCTATTTTTTGAGTTATGAAGACGTTTATAGGTAAAAATGTGGCGGTTTTCGGTGCGTTTTGAGACAATATTTGTCATAGCTCGCCTATTTCTTGGAATATGTAAATGAAACTTGGCAGTCTAGATCTAGTACATTTTTTAATGCAGAATCTAGTCATGCAGTCAGATTTTTAATATCTGTCATACTTTTTGAGTTGTAAAGACATTAACAGGTAAAAAAGTGGCGTTCTTTACAGATTTACAAAGATTATCAGTCATATGTTCTCCGAAAGTCATGATATTTGAATGAAACTTGGCAACATAAAAGGTTCCTCCTTGCCAAGCAATGCTCTGGATCAATTTGTCACAAAAATGTAAATAGAGAGCTGGATTTATTAGTCTAATAAATCCAGTTCTCTACTAGTAAAAGCATGCATACTTTGTTATAGAAAATAAGATCGTCTCTGTGTATATCCATTGTTGGACAGTGTCCTATTGTGTGGTAGATTAAGTTGCGTTCAGATAATATAGTTTACAAGTCATGGGAATATTTCGCATGTGTAGACTACAACTCATACAATAAATGTAACATATTTACACCCCCCCCCCTCTCTCTCTCTCTTTCTCTCTCTCTCTCTATCTCTCTCTCTCTCTCTCTCATGCGCGCGCACAAACACACACACGCATGCACGCGCGCGTGAACGATAACAATGTATAAACGGGGCTATCTTCCCAGACTTGACTAAATAAGTATCATACTCTTTAATAACAATCTTAATGCCTCACTTTTCCAAACAGAGCGCACAGGACGAGTCCAAGTGTGTGGTTTCCCAAGAGGGGGGAAAAGACTTTCATAACGCAAACACTTGTAATGTCATACCAGTTCTCAAGATGTTTGCTTTTCTATTTCTATTCTTCTGTCATGCAATCAAGCAAATAAAAATGACTACATCTATTGTATTGTGACTAAAATGCAACACAAACGCAAGTTATCAGGGCCCCCGTTTAGTTTTCAAGTATCCTTCCCCCACCTTTTCCGGTTCACATAAGCGGGGCCTCGTTTGTAGCGCCCGAGGCGACCGATGGCTGATGACGTCACTCAGTGGAAATTTCCCAGCCGCAGGTCGTTCGCAAATGGCAATGCCGTTTTTTCCCTTAGTTACTCCCACATTTTTAAAGATGACGCAAAAACCGCTAAACACAGAAGCTTGAAATTTTAAGGGAATAAAGAAAAATGGTGTACAACGTATCAGTCAGTTTGACAAATCACAGCTCCGAAAAATCTTCAAAGCGCACCACATCAACCACTTTCGCAAACGTTTTCGACTGCTTCTAGGATGGGTACAATGTTGTCAAACTGCATACTACTAGATTGACCTCTTTTCTGATTGGCTGCCAAGTTTCATTCATATCCATTCACGAGAAGCGGCGTGAGAGCGAGTTGAAGACAACCTTTGCGTTAGTGCGTCCCGTGAAACACCCCCGCTGCGGGGGCCAAAAATCGGCAGAACAAAACGCGCTTGGTGGGCATTGCTACACAATTCAATAAAGAAAAGACCAAACCCTGCTCCTCTATTCTATTCGGGAGGATTTTCGTAATGAGCGACCACTATGAGACAGAGCAGAATTGAGGGCTAGGGGTAGAGTTAGGCAGTTAGGGTTTGAGTTTGGGGTAGGTTTAGGGTTAGGGTAGGCCTCTTCTTTATTGTGGTTATGGAAGTCCTTCCTTCTATTCTACTCTAGATATCTATCTCATTGTGGTCGCTCGTTACGGAAGTCCTCCCAACACAACTACACAAGCGGATAGCTGGAACTAGATCTAGAGACTAAAAGAGTAGCTCTAGATCTAGATCTAGTCTAGAGAACAACAACTAAACACCATTGGCCGATATTTATAGTACAGCCATCTTGTTTGACGTTATTGAGGGATTTCCACGTTGTCAGTCATGGCAGAGAGTATAATCCCTTCTTCCCTATAGAAGTACTGGTCATGGTGGCTGTGTGGCAACACGACCGCACGATGGCAGCGTGCCTTCTCGGATTTTCTTTGCAACGTACAAAACTGTTGGGTTCGGTTGTCTGTGGTGTTTGTGCAGCACCCTTCTGCTGCCCAGATTGATTCTGAAGCTGTACACTACATAAACTGAGAAGAAGACTAAGCGTAGGCCTACATCAACGAAACGGAAAGCAACAAAGTGCAATGATGCAATGCAAATGGTCGACCGTTTCAATCCAGATCGTTTCTTTTAAAGATTTTGTAAGCACAAGAAATTAAGCACTTACAAGAGATTGGACTCAAAATAGGAATAGGATGCTTGAGCTGCTAATGGAGTAGTACTAGATCTATATAACTTACTGGAAGGAGCTTGGAAACTTGACAGTGCAAACCGCGCGCTAGGCCTATGCTAAATCGTCACTATTTTTCGAATCACGATCAGATGACGCGGCGGGCATACCCTACCCCTTGCGAGGTCAAACACAATGGCTGTTACTATAAATATCGGCCAATGACGTTTAGTTGTTCTCTAGCTATCCGCTTGTGTTGTTGGCCGGCTAACTTTCTTAATTTGGCGTCTTTTTTGTTTCTAATGTAATGATTGTTAGGCTAGAAAAATTAGATCTAGAAGTTTTAGACCTAACTTAAAACAGATTCTAGATCTACTTACTTTAATAGTTCTTATATACATACGACTACACAACAAGGCCTAAACTGGGCTACGGTTGGCTGAACTTTTGACCCATAAATACATAGTAGGCCTACGATACTCTTGGACTAAATTTGACTCCCCGCACTCTCTGTCTCTCTCCCTCTGTGTGTGTGTGCGTGCGTGAGTGCTTGCTTGATTGCTTTAGTGTCTCTCTCCTTGTCTATTTCTCACTTCCCATAATATATTTATAAATCTCTCTCCCTCCATGTCACTCTCACCACCCTCCCTCTTCAGTGCTTTCTGGCCTCTCTCTCTCTCTCTCTCTCTCTCTCTCTCTCTCTCTCTCTCTCTCTTTCTCCCTCTCCCTCTCCCTCTCCCTCTCCCTCTCCCTCTTCCTCTCCCTCTCCCTCTCCCTCTCCCTCTCCCTCTCCCTCCCTCTCTCAAGATAGGGTAACAAACGAAAAAGTCCCCATTTTGTAACATGTATTACTAATACTACTAAATTCTTCTTCTCCTTCCTCCTCTTCTCCTTCTATTTTTTCATCTTCTTCTTCTTCTTCTCCTCCTCTTCCTCCTGCTCCTCCTCTTCCTCCTTAGACCTCTTCTCCTCCATCTCCTCCTCCTCCTCCTCCTCCTCCTTCTATGAGGGCTCCAAACCGACGGAGACAATTAAAATCTGCTGATTTACAAGACTTACTTACACATTACTTTTCTGATCAGGTGGCCGTCTAGGTAATTCTTAGTTTACCTGTGAATACACGCACATACTGATGATACTCTTCTCCTCTTACAGGATCATTGTTCACCTTTTTATGCTTTGTTTTTTCATTTCAGTTGTGATGCAGAGCCAATTGCCCTCGCTAAGTATGTATGTGCCCTGCTCAAGAAAAATAAGCCAGAGCAAGACTTGAAGGATATTTGCATTGATCAGCTGGACGTTTTCTTGCAACTGAGTAAGTTCTTTGTACTAACTGAAGAAAAGATTAATATATTATAAGTCATTGCACATTATAACCAATAGAGGCTAGTAGCCATTTTATGCAGCCCGTCAGAGAGCTCTTTTCAATAAATAAGATATGTGTTAGGGGTGTGCATGCAACATGTGTGTGTGTCAGATGGGCAGCCAGCACATGTTCGTGTGTATGTGTGGTAATGGTGGCTGTGTGTGATGTGTTTGGACATGGTGGCAGTGATTGTCAGTAGAGTGGCAGAGATTAATGTTTTGTCAGGCTACTAAACGGTCATAGACAAGAGATAATTCGGCAGGTCTGTGGAACCAAAGATGTGGTGGGTCTAGTTAAAATATTGTGTACACTATAGCACAAGTAGTTTAGTTTTCAACTTGTATCTAGGGCACGTTCGATTTAGTATCAAAGGAAATGACTTTTGTTTGGTACCAGTCGCTCTGTATTTACGAAGTTGAAGGGTTTAATGAAGGGGGGGTGGGGGGGGATAGTGGACTTAGAAATTTACAAAGTGTACCAAGCTCTCTTGCCAACTTTATTTTACTGACCAGACAAGAAGATAAGACATTATATAAGAGCAGCCGTGGACCAAGAACACATAAACTGAAGAGACAATAAACACCTGTATTAAAAGATGTCGACAGAGCACTTTTATTTTGTGTTGTGGTTCAAACAACAAAACAAAGTAATGTGCAAATGTGGCTCTATTGTTCAGGGACTATGCCAAGAGATGTGACCGGACCACTCACATGAGAAAGCACTTTGGGGCACTATTGGTTCTTTCACGTAACACTCCAAACATGACACATTGAGAACAGAAATATATTTCTATTGATGTTCGGTTTGGAAAATACATTATGTTACTCATACCTTTCTCGGAACAAACACCTGTATTCAGGAACTTGAAAGTCGGGCCTGCAGAATTCTTTATTTTTTTACATAAATGCTAGTTTCTTTGTACACATGCTCATCAGTTCATTGTAGCCTGTGATGTGCTTTAGGATTTAAGTTTTGCTATTGGTATGGATCGACTGTTATGACAATTATAACTAAATTTTTTTTTTGTGTGTATGTGTCAATAACAGAGACAAAGCCGTTTGTGGATGAGTTGTTTGAGGCTCTCCACTCCAAGGCCTATATTCCTCCTGAAAGTGAAACCAACAAGCCTCGGCCAGCCTCAGTGGCTGCCAGCAAAAATGACAAAAGCCCTGCCCAAGGGGGAGAGAAAGACAAGGTTGATGGACCACGCAAAAAGTCGACAGAGGTGGGTATTGTTGTCTTTTCTTCAGGGACTGTACTTTTTATTGAATTCGTTTCTGTTGTAAGTACTAGTGAAATGAAATAAAGAAGTGGAAACCTTGATAGCTGTTTTTCTGATTTAACTCAGGACATAACCTTTGGAGTGAATCAAAGATTATTTTGAATGGTTTTTTTGTGAGTAAAAGAGTTTAAATGTATGTGGATTTTGCTATCATGTATGTGTTTTAAATTCAAAGGAAAGAAACGTAGGGGCAAAAATTTGGGACTTGAAAATCTGTTTGTTAGAGGCATAATGATATTTGAAAGAGATGCTAATGACTTTTTAAATTATTTGCTAAAAGAAATGCAACTTCTGTCTATTGCATTCATTGTTGGAAATCTCTTTATCTGAGCAAGAAGACATTTTGTGATTCTTGTATTTTTCAGCAAATTTCCTCCTCTACTGATGGCAAAGACACAAGCTCTGTGGTGACCACTCAAGCTTCCTCCACACCAAGCACAGTAACAGCTGCCTCTGGCACCAAAGACACTGCTCTGTTTCCACACTTAGCCAAAGACTCAACGAAAGAACCGTCAAAGGACTCCAGGGACGCTGGTCCTCGATCCGGCTCTAAAGAAGGGCGGGACAAAGATCGAGACCGCGACGTCGACAGTTCGAGGGACCGGCGGGACTCGTGGAGAGATGAGAAAAAGCAGAACGACATCAGAGACGCGCGGGACATCATCAGAGAGAGGGGAGAGAATCGAGACAAAGGGGACACACGGGAAGTGCGAGAGCCCCGGGACCGTGAAGTGAGAGATCGGGATCGGGACAGAGACTTTAGGAGGAGGAGGACGAGGAGCAGGAGCTTCAGCCCTCGTCGACGGGATTAGTAAGTGGGCAGTGTGTGTGTGGGTGTGGGTGTGTGTGTGTGTGTGTGTGTGTGTGG